TGACGGTGGAAGAAGCCACGGGGCCACAGGGCCCTGGACTCCCACAGACTCGGCGCGGGCGCGGGGAGCTGGGTGCTGGTGCGGCCGCCGAGGACGACTAGCCCGGGGCCGCTGTGGTCCCGCGGAGGCCTCGTGAGTGACCGCTGGGATACACCTGCCACGGGCCAAGGTAGAGTTCAGCCACATTGGTGGAGGTGTTTCTGACCCCGGGGTCCTGGGATCGAGTCCCACGTCGGGCTCCCGGCATGGAGCCTGCTTCTCCCTCTGCCTGGGTCTCTGCCTCTTTTTCTCTCTGTGTCTGTCATGAATAAACAAAAAAATCCTTAAAAATAAATGAATAAATAAATAAATAAATAAATAAATAAATAAATAAATACAAATAATTAATAATTAACAAATGAATAAATAAATTCTAGTTAACAGCAAGGTTATATTGGTTTCAGGTGTAGAACTCGGCGACTCTCACCGACATAAGCACCCAGTGCTCATCACCACTCCCTCCTAAACACCCACCACCTGTGTCACCCCCCGCCCCCCCCCCCCCGCCCTCCAGGAACCTCAGGCTGTTCTCTACCTAAGAGTAAGAGGCTGTTTCTGGGTTTGCCTCCCTCCCTCTTTTATTTTCCTCCTTATGTTCATCTGTCTTGTTTCTTAAGTTCCCCCTGCGAGCGGAATCCTGTGGTGTTTGTCCTCCTCTGGCTGCTTTCACTTAGCGTAACGCCCTCTCGCCCGTCTGGGTCTTTGCAAATGGCAAGATTTCATTCCAAACCCATTTTAAAATGAGAAGAGTCCTTGCAGACGTTCTTTAATCTTTCCCTTCGCCCTGGGGGCTGCTGTCTACCCCCCCCACCCCCACCCCGGCTCTGCTCAGTCCCCTGATTCCTGAGCACAGAGGGAGGATCTGCACTATTTCATCTTTCTAGGTTTTCCACCCACGAGGGGGGCACCAGGGCAGTCCCCATAGCTCCCTCCTTAAGCCCTTTGGCTTTTTGTTTTGTTTTTTAAGGATTTTTTATTTATTTATTCATGAGAAACAGAGAGAGAGAGAGGCACAGACAGAGGCAGAGGGAGAAGCAGACTCCACGCAGGGAGCCCGACGTGGGACTCGATCCAGGATCTCCAGGATCAGGCCCTGGGCTGAAGGCGGCGCTAAACCGCTGAGCCACCCGGGCTGCCCACCCTTTGGCTTTTTGGCAAAGCAATGGAAAAACCCTTTATAAGGACCGTGGACACATCACGGTGGAAGCCAGTCCGTGACGGTTCCCTCCTCACCTGCTTCCCAAAGTCAGCTCAGCCAAAGTCCCTTTGAAACAAAAAGCACAAATTACGGCTAATTTAGGGCAATTACAGGATTTACAAATTAAATGTATCCGCGCCGGTTTCCCTAGCAACCATCTCTGAATCACAAGATGACGAGCTTGAACTATTGTTCTATTGAACGGACCCCAGTATGGAGAGAGGCCCGCGTGCCTGACCGCCGTGAGTGCCCACCTGCGTGTGGGCAAGAGGGGCCCCGCGCGTGGGGCAGGACAGTAGGGTCAGATCCAGACCCGGCCGCATCCCAAGACGCTGGTGGGGCATCAGCCGCAGAGAAAGGGGCTTGAGCGGAGCTTGGCAACGGAGCAGGCCAGGCAGGGCCCTGCGTCCTGCCGCCAGCGCCTGGCCGGGGCTGGGGGCACACCCCGTCTCAGCTTTCCACCTACGCAGCAAGGGGCTCGAGCTGGATCCTTTCTCTGGCTTTTCCAGCTCTCTAAGGAGCATGACTTTTCTGGTTCTGGACCAAGATGTCACATTTACAGTCACCAACGGTGAATGAGGCAACTTTAGTGCTGGTCATGCTGGAGCCCTCCAACGGGACCTGCCACCAAGGGCTGAGTCTGGACCCCCACGGGGCAGCCTGGGGGCAGATGCATGGGGGGGGACAGCCTTCCCGAACCCATGAATTCTGGAGAAAGAGGCTCTCTGGACCCTAAGCTGGGATCCAGCCGTGTTTCCCAGGGGGCAGCAGCTGCAGCAAAGAAGTGGCTCCAGCCTGTGCGCAGCCACCTGAGAAGAGGGCACCCCAGTCGGGACCATAGTGGGCGCTCACGGGAAGAGGGTCCCTCCCTCCCATTGGAAGAAGCGAGGGAGAGGCTCTCGGGGGCCCGTGTGTAGACCGGCAGGAGTGCGGGAAAGTCTCCTGAGGTCCCTAAGTCAGGGTGGGGCTCCTAACCCCGGGGCAGGTGCAGAACGGAGGCCGAAGGCGCACGTGGGCCGTGGGGGCTCCTCCTTGCACCTCCTTACTCCCGGAGGACGGACGTCCGGCCAGCACACCTCTGCGTGGAGACCCGCGAGGAAGGCGGACACTGCGCCCGCACCATCCGGGACCCAGTCCCCGAGAATGAGCACCTGCCAGGAGATGCTTCAGCTCCCCCCGTGACAAGTTTGGGCGGGCGCAACTCTGGAGTCACTGAATTCTAGTGGGTTTTCTACGGTTTCTCAGCATGAACCAGTGGAGTTTTATGATGTTTAAGGGGATGTGCTTATGAGCCTGCAGTTTGCGAGCCCTTTGCTGCCAATCACGCGGGACTGTCACCATTGGGAGCGTCATCCGTCCTCGCTGCACTCTTTTAGGTTCTTCCGTACGATACTTCAAAGTCCCCCGCTTGGGAACCAGCACATACGGAGGCAAGAGCCCTGTGACGTGCTTCGCCCTGGACGGCGGTGGGTGACTGTCCACGGGTCAGACGCGGGAAACACGGCGTTCAGGGACGAGCTGCCGCGACCGCCTGCACTGGGTGGGGTGGCCGACCCGCGGCCATGGCCACCCTGCTCCCCGCGGGCCTGAGTGACCGGCCCCCAGCCTCCGTCCTTCCATCCTGTGGCCTCCGCCGGGAACGGGCTGTGGAGGAGAAGCCGCCGGGTGCCACCTTCCGGGGAGGAATCCAGGCCCCTGGTTTTCAGAGTCAAGGAAGGGTCTGCAGGGTGGAGGGTGCTGATGGCAAAATCCAGCGCCAGTGACGTCGATCGGCCCCTGCCCTGCGCCAGGCGTGGTGCTCAGTGCTTCGCCTTACGTCCCCGACCTCGTCGGCAATCCCGTGGCAGGTGGGGCACGCGAGGCAAGGAGGCTCCGAGGAGCTTGTGTGCGGCTCCAACTAGAAGGCGGAGGGACTCGGCCAGTCCAGCGTTGGCTTTCACCTCCCCGCCCGCCCGTTCCTCCCGGCCGGCCCCAAGTGACAGGTGCGTGTAAAGGAAACTCGCCTGGAATTGGGATGTTCCTTAAGTGTCTGGGTCTGCGGGGCACCCACACTTGACCGATTGTGTTCGTTGCTCTCCGGGCTTGAGAAGAGACGGCAGGGTGAGGAGGAGGCGGGTGCTGGAGCAGCCTAGATGCGGGGGCTGTGGGCACCGGGTGGGCCATCGCGGGGACCCCGCACCCCGCCAGCTCTGGCCACGGGGACTCGCCGGGGCAGCGGGACTTCCACCGCCTGCCTGCAGATGTCCTCGCTGCAGCGCCAGCCGGCTGGAACTGGGAGCACCCTAGGCTTCCCCCAGCACCCTACAGCATCCGTGACAGAAACTGCTAGAAAGGCCGCTGTTTTCCCTGAGCGACCGTATCTGCTTGTTCCTTGGCAAATGCTTAGGTGCCTACGCAGGAGGCTGCTGCCCCTGCCGCCCAAGCACCTGCTGCCCCTGCCGCCCGATGATGCTCCCCTAGGCCCGTGTGCTGGCGGCGCTAGTGCCCCCGGCGTCCTGCTTGCAGGCCCGGGGTGGCTGCACACGGTGCTCCGCTCCGGGTCCCAAAGCTGGCGACGGGGGAGGCAGGTCACCAAGCCATCCAGCCCCAAACTCCACGGACTTTACCTTGGTTTTGCTCGGAGACCATGGGCTCCCGCGGCTGCCCACACGGCCCCATGAGCACCGGCTTGCTCCCACCTTTAGCAAAAGGGCGAGCCCCGGGGTGCGTGTTCCAGGTACGGGGTCCACCTCCAGCACCCCCGCCGGCCTGTTTTCCTCCGATCCTTCACCCCACCCAACATCCCCCCCTCCGGGTACGTCTGTTTGCACTTTTACCGAAACATCCTTCTCGGATGAGGATAAGAACATTTAGAAGAGTAACAAGAGTAAAGGTGATTCGATGACGTGATTCGGGATCTCCCCAAGCGGCTTGCCGGTCCCTCAGCGCTTGTGCTGAGCTTGCACGGCCGTGGGGTGCGGGGTGAGGGAGGCAGCCCTGCGGCGACCCGACCGGGGGCAGGCTCTGGGCCGGGGCGGCAGCGGTGCTGGGCAGTGCTGGGAAACGTGCGGAGGGTGGGGAGCCGACCCCCACGTATTAGGGTGCTCTTGGGGCTCACTGGACGCACGACGAGTCTGCTGACGTGCCGTGGTGAAGGACACGGGCCCACACATCCAAATGCTCCCCCAGAGCTTCCTCGAGGTGAAGCATCTCTCCAGCTCCCAGAGCCCAGCACCTGACTGCACGCACAGATTTTTAGAAGGATGTCGTACACGGTCCTCAAATGTGCTGAATTTTCCAGGAATACGACTCCCATGCAAACCAAGGGAAGACTGCACTTTGCTCGAGAGCTTTACCAGGAATGTGTCATCCCCTCCAAATGTGCCGCCGTCAGGGACCCTGCTTCGGGCGTGGGAGTCAACAGCACAATCCACCTGTCGCGTCTGCATTTGCGCGGGCGCGTCCCCGACGACCCTGCGATAGGTACACGCTCGCTCGCGTAGCCTTTCCCTCTAAGTGTGCAACATGAAGAAAGAGCCGGCGATACACATTGTCTGAGCGCTGTCTTGCATGTCCTACCACCCGGGTTACGCACCGTAAGGAGGGGCACGCGTCTCCCAGCTCCACGATGTCTCCGGTGTCCTCCTGCCTGAACACACACGTTCGGGTTGAAATACATATTCTGTTTTTTATTTTTATTTTTTTATTTTATTTTTTATTTATGATAGTCACAGAGAGAGAGAGAGAGAGGCAGACACACAGGCAGAAGGAGAAGCAGGCTCCATGCACCAGGAGCCCGACGTGGGACTCGATCCCGGGTCTCCAGGATCGCGCCCTGGGCCAAAGGCAGGCGCCAAACCGCTGCGCCACCCAGGGATCCCTTTATTTTTATTTTTGTTTTTTTTTTTTGTTTTTTTTTTTTACTGGAGCATAGTTGACCTGCAGTATTAGCTTCGGGAGTCCAGCCTGCTGGTTCAACAGGCCCACACGCTCGTCTCTGCTCGCCGTGATGACCGTGGCTGCCACTGTCGCCGTCCGACGTCGTCCCGGCATCGCTGGCTATGATCCCTGTGCCGACCTCCTCCTTCCCGTGACTCCTCTCTGTTACAACCGTGCGTTCGAGCCTCTTCATCGCCTGTTTTGCCCCCGACCCCCCAACTCCCTGCGCTCTGGTGATTTCTAGTTAGTTCCCTGTACTTATGATTCTGTCTCTGTTTAAATTTTCTTTTTTTTTAAGATTTTATTTATTTATTCATGAGAGACACCGAGACAGAGAGAGAGAGAGGCAGAGACACAGGCAGGGGGAGAAGCAGGCTCCCTGCAGGGAGCCCGATGCGGGACTCGATCTCGCGACTCCAGGGTCACGCCCTGGGCTGAAGCCGCCCGGGCTGCCCTCTGTTTAAATTTTCATGTAAATTCTAGTTCGTTGACATACAGCACGATACTGGTGTCAGGAGTCGAATTCAGTGATTCATCACTCACACGCAACACGTGCCCTCCTTCGTGCCCGTCCCCCACCTCCCTCCATCAGCCCCCATGAGTGATTCCCACCCCTCCTCCCCCTTCCCACGTGTTCCTCTGTTTCGCTTCTTAAATTCCACATATGAGCGAGATCACGTGGCATTTGTCTTTCTCTGACTCACTTCACTGAGTGTGACCCACTCTCGTTCCATCCACGTCACCTCAAATGGCAAGACTTCGTTCCTCCGATGGCTGACGTTCCAGCGTGTGTGTATCTATGCCCCGCATCTTCTTTGCCGTGCTGGGAATGCCCCGCTGACCGTGGGGACGGCTTATACTGAGAAATAGGCTGACGATTTGTTCTTGTTTATTCCGTTTTATTTTTTATTTTATTTTTTAGGCTGACGATTTGCACACTCCTCTTTGTGCGGGATACATTTCAGTAATTTAATTCAAAAACCAGTGCTGCCTTAGATCGGTCGCAAGGAGCTGTTTGCTTACGCTACCCGTGATAATAATGTAATAGTTGATGTGACGGTTTATGAGCAACATTGATGAAATAAAAGGGGGAAATCCTCCAAGATCAAGAATTACTAATAAAAGAAGTACGTTGAACTCTTGGGGAAAAAAAAAAAAGCCACACACAGAATGTAACTTGAACGTTTTGGCTCCGGGCGCGCTCTCCGGGTTGGGAGATCGAGGCCCCGTCAGGCTCCATGCGGGGTGTGGAACCTGCTAACGTTCTCCCTCCCCCTCTGCCTCGGCCCCACTCACCCCCGCGTTCTGCGAGGGTCTTGCTGATTTGCGCCCAGCCTGCGTTTCCTCTGGTCCCGGAGGCACTTTGGTCTTGCCCTTGGTCTACCCGACGGCGGAGGCTCTGCACACCGACCGGCCAACGGCAGGACCAGGACGGGAACGGCTCCAACAACACGGAGCTGCATGATCCACCCGAGTGAGTGCAGCCTCGGGAAGCTCCGCTGCAGGAGGAACAGGCTTGCCAGCGCCTCGGTGCGGGCCACAGGCTCCCCCGTCTATCTGGGGGATACGGAGATTTGGGGCTTAGGTTTTCACCTGAGTGTACGGCTTAGTAACGGGGCTGTTCTCCCCTGAGGGGCTCGGTCTTGGCCGTTGCTGCTCTCGCTGTTGCATAAGAGAAAGGCGAGGGGTGAATGGATAGAGACGCTGTGGTCCGCGCGTACCCTGGGATGTTCCTCAGCCGTTAGAAGCGACAAATACCCACCATGTGCTTCGACGTGGAGGGACCTGGAGGGGGTCATGCTGCGTGAAAGAATCGGAGAAGGACACACATTATACGGTCTCATTCATTTGGGGAATATAAATAATAGTGAAAGGGAATAAAGGGGAAAGGAGAAAAAATGAGTGGGAAATATCAGAAAGGGAGACAGAACATGAAGACTCCTAACTCTGGGAAACGAACTAGGGGTGGTGGAGGGGGAGGAGGGTGGGGGGTGGGGGTGACTGGGTGATGGGCACTGAGGGGGGCACTTGATGGGATGAGCACTGGGTGTTATGCTATATGTGGGCAAATTGAGCTCCAATAAAAAAAAATTAAAAAAAAGAGAAAGGCACGGGGCAGGGGGAAAGCGCCCATTCCCTTGCCTGCGTTTCGAGACCCTTATAATCCCCCCTTAAGCTGACTGAGAAGTCAGCGTATCCCCCACTGATCCCTCGCTGGTGCCTATTAACCAGACAAAAGCCACCACCGCAGAACACGGTGTGCTTTTTATGTTTAAGCTTCTGTCTAACTGGCCCACTTATACCTGGATGAATCAGTTCTGCCTTCGGGGCTGAATTGAACGCGGCGTCCTCTGAAAGCTCCCCGAGCAAGCTCTTCCCCGTGTGCTGCAAGGGCTGCGTATTGGCTCTATTTTCCACGCCCTCAATCGAGGGCATGGGCTGCAGAGGATTTGGCAACCAGTTTTGGGTATGAGTAGCTATTTCTGAGATGTTTGAAGGTGGAAATACTGGAGTCTCACACGTCAGCCGTTTCCCTACTATGGAAGTGCATTTCATATCGGGTGGGCACTGGTGTTAGACGCTCATATACGTGATTTCCTTGAATCCTCATGAAGATCCTGGAAGGTACATGTTACTCCATATTTGCCCAGGGTTATTCTAGAAACAATGAATTGCAGGGCCAGAGGCTGTCTGATTCTTCAGGACATGCCCCCCCCCCCCGCCCCCTGCACAGAGCTGCTCACAGGTGTGGGGAAGGGCAGTGGCCGGGTGGCCGGGTTTAGGGCGGCGGCGGCGGCCAGGATGGAGAGAAGCGGGGGCAGGTGAGGCTGCGCTGGCCCTGGGGTTCGTCCAGGTCAGATGGGTGCGTCCTGAGCCAGAGCTCTGTCCTCAGGCAGCAGGAAGAGCCTACGTGTGAGGTGTGAGTCAGAAGGCTTCGGTGACACATCTGGAAATACGGGGCCGGCAGCCGCTCATTGTTTCAGAGCTGGTTTAGCCCAGTGGCTGCACGCACAGCCCCGAGAGCCACGCCGTACGCATTTCCATCCTGGTCGCGGGCTCTGACGAGTCACTTGCCCCCTTTGAGGTCACTCTCAGCACCTGATTCTTTTCATCTGCAACATGGAGACGACAGGGCTTACCTCTCCGTGCTGGGCCCGACCAGTCTACAGAGTATCTGGCCAGCAATGTTCGGAGCTCTGGAGGTCAGGGACAACAGGGAAAGTCTGCGAAACTGTCACAACCAAGAGGAACGTAAGGAAACACGAAACCTGCATCATAGACAAAGGACATTAGACAAGGAAATGAGGAAATCTGAATAAAGAACGGAGTTTAGTGAAAAATAATTGTACCAATATTGGTTCATTCATTGTAACAAATATGTCATGATAATGTAAGATATTTGTAAGAGGAGCAACTATGAGATTTATAGGGACTCCCTGTACTGTCAGTGCTGGTTAATTTTATGTGTCCGCTTGGCTAGGCCATGGCCCAGCTGTTTGGTCAAGCACAAGTCTAGATGATTCTATGAAGATATTTTTTAGAAGTGACTACTATGGAATCAATAGACTCTGATGAAAGTAGATTACATCCCAAAACGTGGGTGAAAAAAAAAAAAAAAACGTGGGTGAGACTTATCCAATCAGTTGAAGGCCTTAAGAGAAAAGCTGAGGTCCTCTCAGCAGAAATCTGAATAAACTACAGACTTGCATTCATAATTATGTATCAATATTGGTTCATTAATTGGGACAAATGTACCCTACTAATTAAGATGTTAATAATGGGGGAAACTGGCTGTGGGGTATACGGGGTATATCTCTTTACTATCTTTGCTCTAATTCTGTAAATCTAGAACTGTTATAACATTTTTAAAAGTGCTTTAAGAAAATCAGTCTTGCAGAATTCAGCTTTACTGACAGAAATAGAATCTTGCTTTCAAACAGTGAAACGAGGAGCATATGCCATTTTGTTCCACAATAGCATCCAGAGTCTTGCTGTAGTGACACAAAGGAATGAAAATGGGTTTCTCTTTATGGACTTGCACAAAAAAGTACTTTTTGTTTAACCAATGAGTGTTTTATAGCAGAAACACTGTGCATATGGAAACAATCAAAACGGAATACACTGGGAAGCAGAATTCTGTTACTTAAGAGGGACATAAAACGTGCTTCTTGTTTTTAATGGGGTGATTATTTTTCATTCTTTAATCATTTGTGCTCTCTTTCTAGGTAGCTCTTTTCTGTCACTTTAATAGCCCATAGTGGTGAAAATAAAGAACTAGGAATGGGGTTAAAGTAAATGTTGGGATGAAAGGTCTTAGTTCCGTCTGGCAGGTCCTGTTCAGGACGTCAGGCAAGTTGAAGATGAAACCATTCATTCAGAAATATTTATTGTCTGCCTACTGTATACCAGGAAGTGTGAGGCTTCTAAAATGAATCATTTACAGGTGCTACCCTCAAGCATCTCTTTTTTGAAAGATTTTATTTACTTATTCATGGGAGACACACACAGAGAGAGGCAGAGACACAGGCAGAGGGAGAAGCAGGCTCCCCACAGGAAACCTGATGCGAGACTCGATCCCAGGACCCCGGGGTCACGACCTGAGCCAAAGGCAGATGCTCAACCACTGAACCACCCAGGTGCCCTACCCTCAAGCATCTTATCATTGTTCATATATAAAGCAGACATGCTTTATATATGAATATATAAATTATATATTGTAATTTGTCATAAAACATATAAATTTTATCCTTATATATCATGTGTGTATAACAGTTGTAAATATGTAAATCATATATATATATATATCTCCTACATATCTCACTCTTTCCTTGCCTCCCATAGGCAACTTTTCTAATGTCTTTAGTATATATTTTACATGTGTGTGTTCCTACAAAAATTTATGATATTGATTTGTAGGCATATATCTTTAGTTTATATAAATGGTGAGGTGCCATATATCTCACCCCATTTTCTTTTTTCAGCAAAGTATGGCTTTTTTTAATTTTTATTTTTTTAAGATTATTTATTTATTTATGATAGACACACACACAGAGAGAGGTGGAGACACAGGAGGAGGGAGAAGCAGGCTCCATGCAGGGAGCCTGATGTGGGACTCGATCCCGGGACTCCAGGATCGCGCCCTGGGCCAAAGGCAGGTGCTAAACCGCTGCGCCACCCAGGGATCCCCAGCAAAGTATGTTTTTAAGACCCATTCTTATTGTTATGTGAATAGAAGTCACCCTTATTGCTACATAATATTCCAAGGTGACCATCTTAAGAAGAAAGAAAGCAAAATAAATGAAAGAAGGATGAGAGAAAGAAAAGAAAGAAAGAGAGAAAGAGAAAGAGGAGAGAAAGAGAGAAAGAGAAAGAGAAAGAGAAAGAAAGAGAAAGAGAAGAAAGAAAGAAAGAAAGAAAAAAGAAAGAAAGAAAGAAAGAAAGAAAGAAAGAAAGAAAGAAAGAAAGAAAGAAAGATTGATTCTCTTTTGCTGGTCCAACTGTGGTATTGGACACTCTCCTCCCACCTACCTCCTCCTCAAGGAGGCTTCAGTTGGCTTGTGCTTTCCCTTGGGTCTAGAGGGTGAGTATTCACTTACATAGACCTAATTATCTAGGAAAGTTTCCAAGGGAGGATTCCAGCTCATTTCATTAAGAAGACTGTGGGTAGCCTCCTCACAGCTATAATTAGTGCTACTCTATAAACCCTCTCTGCTTTCTGAGAATATATCAGTTCTGATTCCTATGGAACTTTTTCTTCCCTGACCTTCGAGGGCTATAATAATTCCATCTCTAAAACTCCCATAGTATTTCTGAACATTAATTACGTTTCAGGATGTGTACCAGTGGTAGAATGACGGTGAAGGGTCTGAGAGACAGGGGCAGGCCTGTCCTGGCTGAGACTGAGGGTCTGGGCCCTCTTTAACGGGTCTTAACCTCCTTCTGTGGTTAGAACAGGTGCTGAAGTTATTCTTCCTGTGTTTGAATCCTAGTTCTGCAACTTCCTAGCTGTGTAAACTTGAGCAAATTACTCATCTAGGAAATGAGGTAATTAAACCACAGATGACTTATAGGGTAAAATTCCAATTCAACTACTGATTCATCCATAGATACTTTCTTGCCTCTGTGCCCTTTAGACATCATTCTTTTCTCTGAAATGTCTTTTTCCCAGTGCCCTTCTCTCCCTTCAAGGTTCTCTCCAGACAGCATGTTCTCCAAAAGGTTTTCCTTAGAATTCAGATTTAAATAAAGAATGAAAGAGGGATCCCTGGGTGGTGCAGCGGTTTAGCGCCTGCCTTTGGCCCCGGGCGCGATCCTGGAGACCCGGGATCGAATCCCACGTCGGGCTCCCGGTGCTTGGAGCCTGCTTCTCCCTCTGCCTGTGTCTCTGCCTCCCTCTCTCTCTCTCTCTCTCTCTCTCTCTCTCTCTGTGTGACTATCATAAATAAATAAAAATAAAAAAAAAGAATGAAAGAGTGTTGAATATGGAATAAAGGTAAGATATAATCTTTTTTTAATTAATTGATCCAACAGATAACTGTTTAAAGTATCAGTAGTAAATAATACAATTTATTAGGCGATTACAGCATATGGGTGAGTGAAATGAATGACATTAATGGTGTAAGGGATGGGACTGACAATTTGGGGATACTGTGCTATAAGTTACCTGCATTGCATGTGAAGTGGTACAATGTAATTTGGAAGTGGACTTAAAATTGCTATAAATATATATTGTAAATTGATATGCTTAGAGAGGAGAGAAAATGGAATCATATAAAATGCTCAGCTCAAACCAGAAAGGGCAGAACAAGGGAAAAAATAAGCACAGGATAAACACAATGAATAGAAAACACTTACAGACATGGTAGATAGTAAACCCCCAAAAATCATTAATCACATTAAATATAAATGATCTCAATATATTAATTAAAAGATAAAGACTGTTGGGGTAGATTTAAAAAGATCCAAATATATATATAGTTTTTTCAATAAGAAACCCATTTTAAATATAAAGAAACAGATTAAAAGTAAGGAGATGGAACAAGATATAATAGTACTAACCAAGAGAAAGCTGGAATAGCTATAGTAATTTCAGATAAGTTAGAATAGAATCTAACTTATCTGAAATTACTATAAAAGGGGATAAAAGGGGTCATTACATAATGAAAAAGGAGTCTATTCCCCAAGGAAATATAGCAATCTTCAACATGTATGTACCTAATAACAGGACATCAAAAGACATGAGGCAAAACCAAAATGAACTGCAAGTAGAAATAGACAAATCCATTGTTACGGTTGGAAACTTAAATATTCTTTCAGTAGTGGATAGATCCAGCAGACAGAAAATGAGTAAGAATCCAGTTGAAAAAAAAGAGCACCATTAATCAACTAGATCTAATTGACATTTATAAAATACTTCCTCTAAAAACAGCAGCATACACATTTTTTTTTCTTCAAACTCATGTGGAACGTTTAGGGCCATAAAGCAGACTTGAACAAATGTATACGACTAAAAGTCATACAAAGTACATTTTCAGACCACAGTGGAATTAAACTAGAAACCAGTAATGGAATGATAGCTAAAACAAAACAAAACAAAAAAACCCAAACCCTCCCAGATATTTGGAGATTTAACAACACGCTTTTTATTGTATGTAAAGAAAACAGTGCTCATAGGGGAAATTTATAGAACGAAGTGCCCATATTAGAGAAGAGAAATCCAAAAGCAATCATTTGACTTTTCACTTTAGAAAACCAAAGAAGAACAATCTACAACTAAATCAAGCAGAAGAAAGGAAATTTAAAACATTAGAGCAGAAATCAACAAAATTAACTGGAAAATACACCCCCATAAGTCAATGAAACAAAAAACTTTAGCTCTTTGAAAAGATCAGTAAAATTAATAAACCACTTGCCTAGCTAACCAAGAAAAAATCGAAAGAAGACACAAATTATTGATATCAGAGATGAAATAAGGGTCATCACTACTTACACGATGGACACTGAAAGGTCAATAAAGGACTAAGTGATCGAGTAAGGAACTACACGGGTGGTTTTAAGATTTGCTGTATCAGAAGTACCTGAGGGGGCCTGTTAAAATGCAGACCCCGCCCCCAGGTCTCACCTATATATTTTTTTAAATTAATTAATTTATTTATTCATGATAGACACAGAGAGAGAGGCAGAGACAGAGGCAGAGGGAGAAGCAGGCTCCCTGCAGGGAGCCCGACGGGGGACTCGATCCTCAGGCCTCCAGGACCGCGCGCTGGGCTGAAGGCGGCGCTAAACCGCGGAGCCCCCCAGGGATCCCTCACCTATATATTCTGATTCTGTAGCTGTGGGTTCTGTATTTTTAACAAGAACCGTAGGTAATTCCAGTACACCCGATCCTAGGACCACAGGCTGAAAAGCACTACGGGCTCACGTGCAAGAACCGTAGGTAATTCCAGTACACCCGATCCTAGGACCACAGGCTGAAAAGCACTACGGCTCACGTGAAGGCCTTAACCCGGTCGGAGAAACGAGAATATAAAGTAGGATATGTCTGGGCCAGGGGCTGGTGGCGTTTTATCTGGGGCCTCCTTTCTTTATGAGGTAGAGGAAGATATCTCTGTGGACAAGGGGTCATTTACAGCTGCAGGAAGCAGTCAGGCTGGGAACAGAAGTGGTAGGAAGGGGGGAAATGCTTGCATGGGGTTCTGAAGCAACCCTGATCCTGGAAATCAACATTATTAAGATGCCACGTCCTTGTGAAGGATGGAGAACACAAGTGCCATCAGTTTTCTTTTTTCTTTTTCTTTTCTTTTCTTTTTTTTTTTTTTTTGCCATTAGTTTTCTACAGAGCTTAAAAGGGGGAGGAGCCTAGAAAAAAAAACTAAAAAAAAACCAGGCTCCTAGAATTATAATTGTGAGGATCCTGAGCACCACCACCTGGCTCTGCTAAAGAGGCGAGCCAGGCTCCCCAGCCTCTCCCCGAGAGTCCTCTCTCCCCGCCCGGTCTCCTCAGTGGTAAAGTGCAGACAAAATAGTTTCCACTTCGTAGGCTCAGAGCCGGTCCTAAATGGGCTCACGCACGGGAATTATTAGAGCAGCGCCTGTCTCGCGGCAAACCCTCACCTGCACATCAGCTCACTCTCGCTCCACAGGCAACACCCTGCTTGACTTTTACACAAATAAGCCAATTGATCTGACTTCGCACATGGCCACTTTGTCCCCATCTTACAGGTGAGGAGATGATGGAAAAGGAAAACCCATTGTCTTAAGTCCCCACAACCAGTACCTGAGCCAAGGGGGCTGGAGACTAGGTCTCCCGACTCCAGCCTCACTTCCTGAGAGTTTACTCGGTGCCAGGTATTGTGAAAAGTACTTTTCTCTTTTTCTTAAAGATTTTCTTTTTTATTTGGGAGAGAGGACATGCGTGAGAGCGCCAAGCGTGAGCCGGGGAGGGACAGAGGGAGAAGCAGTCCCCGCTGGGCCGGGAGCCCGGGATCAGGGCCTGCGCCAGGGCGATGCCAACTGCCGAGCCTGGGCGCCCGAGGAGGGTACCTTGGAGCACGCAGCCGTCGAGGCTCCAGGGAAATGCCCTAAGCAGCAGGCCCGGGGCAGCCGGGCTGGCACCTGCGCCCCCAGGGACCCTCGCCTGCCCCCCCGCCCCTCTGAGCCTCACCTGCGGGCGCCCACCCGCACCTGCGAGGGCATCCAAGCTAAGGAGTCTCAGCCCCGCCCGGGAACAGCTCCTAACTACGCGGAACCAGGAAACCAGTGCCTGTGGGGCTGCAGGTGCGCGGGCTCAGAGGGCTTCCCGGAGGCGGGAAGTAGTTTGCAGGTGAGCCTCCCGCAGGTGGAGGGCGGGCTGGGGGCGGGTGCCGGACGAGCTGAGCGCAGGAGGCCACGGAGAGCGCTCCGAGGATGGGATCCACAAGCCGGCTGTGCCAAGGCTCATGGAGGGTAAGTTTTGAAAGGGATTCGGGGTCTGTCCAAGGGAGCGGGGAATATGGGCGAGACTTTGGGCTTTAATGGGAGCCACACGTCGGTCGTTTGGGGTTTTTTGCGAGCACCTCTCAAAGTGAATGGCTCTTTACCTTGATCTCATGGAAGAGTCAAATGCAACTCTAAGAAATGACAGAGAGGCCGAGTAACCCAGTCCGTGTCGGTCAGCGGTGACACCTTGCACAAGGTGCCGGGGTACTAACGTCCACGCAGTCCCCGTCGTACTCCGATTCCGCAGTGTAGCTCACACCTGTGTACGTATTTGAGTCTGCGGGATTCTCTGGCACCCGGAGGTTTGCGTATCTATGACCACAGTCGAAATATGCGTCAAAGGTGATGCCCTTTTGTCCCTAACGATTTTATCATTGGGCATGTTGTATAGAAGTTCCATTATCCATTTTAAATTGATTTTATAAGGTGAGAGACTTAGACTTGAGCTTTTTGGTTGCGAATGCGTTTTTGTCTACGAATGTCCGACGGCTGGCCCCGTTTACTGGGAAGACCGCCTGTCTGCGTTCAACTGCTTTCGCGCCTTTGTCAAAAATCACCGGAGCCAACGGAGCCCGCCTGTGTGCCCTGCCCTGGGTTCCCTCGTCCGCTCACTGGCCCAGTGTCCGTCTGTCTGCCAGTACTGCGCTGTCTTCATCGCTGCGGCTGCATCATTTTATCGGTCCCCTCCAAGAGCGTTAGCTGCTCCAGGTGCTTTGCCTTTCCCTGTGAATTTCAGAATAAGCCTGCCTGGGTCCACAAAAGCCCTCCTGGGATTTTGGCAAGAATCGCACTAGGTCTTAGGTCAACTTGTCCTTCTCCCTCTCCGTCTGCCCGCTGCAGCCTCTGCTTGTGCGCGTGCTCTCTCTCTCTGTCAAATAAATAAATAAAAATCTTAAAAGAAAAATTAAAAAAAAACCCTTAGATCAATTTGGAGGGAACTGACATCTTTCAAAGTTGAACTACATGAACATACTCTCTTTTTAAATTTGATTTCTTTTTGCATTTAGATCCTTCATGTGTTTTGTTAAGTGTATGCACAGTATTTCATTTTACTTATTTATTTATTTATTTATTCATTCATTCATTCATTCATTCATTCATGAATAAGAGAAACAGAAAGAGAGAAAGAGAGGCAGAGACCCAGGCAGAGGGAGAAGCAGGCTCCATGCAGGGAGCCTGACATGGGACTCGATCCCGGGTCTCCAGGATCAGGCCCTGGGCTGAAGGTGGCGCTAAACCTCTGAGCCACCCAGGGGTCCCCATATTTCATTTCCTTTTTAGCAATTGTAAATAATACTGTTTTTAATTTCAGTTTCCACAGAACCTGTGTTACTGTATAAAAACACCCTTTAGCTTTTTTTTTTTTTAAGATTTTATTTGGGAGAGAGCACGTGTGCATGAGTGTGGGGGCGAGCAGGGCAGAGGGAGAAGCAGACCCCACTGGGCGGGGAGCCCGATGCGGGGCCTGAGCTCAGGACCCCAGACCACGACCTGAGCCAAGGGCCGATGCTCAACCACGGAGCCCCCCAGGCGCCCCCATCCTCTTACTTTCAACCTACCCTCGTCATTAAACGTGAAGTGAGTTTCTTCTCACCGTAAACACCATGTATCAGCTTGTGCTTCTTTTTGTCTGCTTGTTCTAATCCACGCTGCCAACCCGATTTTTTAATTGGCGTCTTTACACCATTTACGTTGAAGGTGAATCTTGATAGATTTGAGCTTAAGCGTGCCGTCTTACCATTTGTCTTCTGGTTTTCCTGTTTCTCCTCTCTCACCTTTCTGTGGGTACATTTTTCAGAACTCCACCTTAATTTACCTTTAGAGTCTTTGAGTGCATCACTTTTTATATAAAAACTGCCATTCTAGGTGCTATAATGTGTGGATGCGACTTACCACCTCGAGTGGAGCGCAGAGGCCTGGGTGGCTCCCTTGCCTTCCTCAGTCTCTAACAGGATTACCCGGAGTGTCAGATGTTTTCATCACCAAATGTGATTGTAAAAACTCATGACAAGGATCTTCTATTTACCCCAATTTTTACCTATTTTAAGATTCTTCTTGGGTGTAGAATTTACAACGGACTGTTCTTTTCTTTCATCACCTGAAAAGCGTCCTGCTATTTCCTCCGCCTTCTGTGGTTTTCCCACGAAGTATCTGCGGTCACTGAATTAGTGTCCCTCTTTCCATTTGCTTTTAAGAGTTTTTCTTTGTGTTTAGTTTTCAGAATTGAATTATCGGCCTGGATTTCTTGGGAGCTATCCTGGCGGGATTTGCTCATCTTCTTGGAACTGTAGCTTTGTGTCTTTCACCAAATTTGGAAAGTTTTTCAGCCATAATTTTTTTCTAGTGCTCTTTCAGACCTACTGTCTTTCTCCTCTCCTTTGACGACTCTGATTCTGCAAAGATTGGAATTTTGATTACTGTCCCACAGGACCTTGTGACTCTGTTCATTTATACCCAGTCTTGTTTTCTCTTTGTTGTTTATTTGTAATGAATTTACAAATTCATTTACAATGGATTTGATTACTTTATATTCAAGTTGACGCAGTCTGTCCTCTTCATTCTACTACTGAGCTCATTCAGGAAATTTTTAGAATTCCTATTATTGTATTTTTCAGTTCTATAATTTCCATTTAGATCCTTTTTATACAGTTTATTTGCTGACATTTTTTTTGAAGGATTTTATCTGACTGAGAGTGAGGGAGCACACACAGCTGGATGGGCAGGGGGAGAGGGAGAAGCAGGCTTCCTGATGAGCAGGGAGCCCGATATAGGGCTCAATCCCAGGACTATGGGATTATGACCTGAGCCACCCAAGTGACCTGACATTTTTTAAATTTTAATTTGCTTCAAGAAAATCTACAAGTGATTCCGGAACTATTCTTATGATGGCTTTAAAAATCCTTGTTAGGTAATTCTAACATCTGACTCTTTTTGGTCTCGGTTTCAGTTCTCTCTCCCTCCCTCTCTCATACATCTCCAAACTTTGGATCCTAATTAGCTGCTATCTGCTCCTTCAGGGCTGTTCTGTCCTTTGAGGCGTTGGCCCAGTGCAGTGTTGGTTCCCTGGGTTAGGTCGCCTATTAAGATTAAATATTTTATACTGTCTTTTGGGGTACAAACTTGATTTTGATGTAGGAGCTATGATTTCATATTTTCATCATTCCTTGTTAATTCTATTTAATAATCTCTTAATTTGACCTTCCTAGCATTTAAATGTTTTAGCTTTCGGATACATAGCCTGCAACCTGTGGGGGTGCCCTGGCTGCTGCGGGGTCCTGGGAGGGGCACAGGGAGGACAGCCCTCCAGCCTGTGGGGTGCCCTGGCTGCAGTGGTGTCCTTGTGGGGGAGGACAGCCCCCCCCCCCCGTCTATTGCGGTCTCAGCCCCCTGATTGCGGGCTCAGCCACCCCCGATGGCAGGCTCAGCCCCCCCCATTGTGGGCTCAGCACTCCCATTGCGGGCTCAAGCCCCCCCATTGCCCCATTGGGGGCTCAGCCCCCCTCCTTAAGCGGGCTCAGCCCCCCTCCTTAGCGGGCTCAGCCCCCCCATTGAGGACTCAGCTACCCCATTGCGGGCTCAGCTCCCCCCATTGCGGGTTCAGCGGACTCAGTCCTCTCCATTGCGGGTTCAGCCCCCCCATTGCGGGCTCAGCCCCCCCATTGTGAGCTCAGCCCCCCTCATTAGCGGGCTCAGCCCCCCCACTGAGGACTCAGCTACCCCATTGGGCTCAGCTCCCCCCATTGCGGGTTCAGCGGACTCAGTCCCCCCCATCGCGGGTTCAGCTCCCCCATCGCAGACTCAGCCCCCCCATCGCGGACTCAGCTCCCCCATCGCGGACTCAGCCCCCCCATCGCGGACTCAGCCCCCCCATCGCGGTTCAGCTCCCCCATCGCGGACTCAGCTCCCCCATCGCGGACTCAGCTCCCCCATCGCGGGTTCAGCCCCCCCATCGTGGGCTCAGCCCCCCCATCGCGGGTTCAGCCCCCCCATCACGGGTTCAGCCCCCCATCGCAGACTCAGCCCCCCCATTGCGGGCTCAGCCCCCCCATCGCGGACTCAGCCCCCCCCATCATGGACTCAGGCCCCCATCGCGGACTCAGCCCCCCCCCATCACGGACTCAGCCCCCCCATCGCGGACTCAGCCCCCCCCATCGCGGACTCAGCCCCCCCCCATCGCGGGCTCAGCCCCCCCCATCGCGGGCTCAGCCCCCCCATCGCGGACTCAGCCCCCCCCATCGCGGGCTCAGCCCCCCCCATCATGGACTCAGGCCCCCATCGCGGACTCAGCCCCCCCCCATCACGGACTCAGCCCCCCCATCGCGGACTCAGCCCCCCCCATCGCGGACTCAGCCCCCCCCCATCGCGGGCTCAGCCCCCCCCATCGCGGGCTCAGCCCCCCCATCGCGGACTCAGCCCCCCCCATCGCGGGCTCAGCCCCCCCATCGCGGACTCAGCCCCCCCCCATCGCGGACTCAGCCCCCCCATCGCGGACTCAGCCCCCCCATCGCGGACTCAGCCCCCCCCATCGCGGACTCAGCCCCCCCATCGCGGACTCAGCCCCCCCATCGCGGACTCAGCCCCCCCATGGCGGACTCAGCCCCCCCCATCGCGGACTCAGCCCCCCCATCGCGGACTCAGCCCCCCCCATCGCGGGCTCAGCCCCCCCCATCGCGGGCTCAGCCCCCCCATCGCGGACTCAGCCCCCCCCATCGCGGACTCAGCCCCCCCCCATCGCGGACTCAGCCCCCCCCATCGCGGACTCAGCCCCCCCATGGCGGACTCAGCCCCCCCCCATCGCGGGTTCAGCCCCCCCATCGCGGACTCAGCCCCCCCCATCACGGACTCAGCCCCCCCCCATCGCGGACTCAGCCCCCCCCCCATCGCGGACTCAGCCCCCCCCATGGCGGGCTCAGCCCGGTGGTTCCCGCAGGTCCCCGAGCTCCCGCTGCCCGGGTGTCCGTCCGGCCCCCGAGGCTGTGATTGGTCGCTGCCGCCGCCCCGCCGCCCCCCAAGCCGGGAGGTGCCGCCCGCGCTGCCAGGGGCGCTGACGCCGACGCGGACCGGGCAGCAGGGAGCCTGCGGGCCGCGCAGCACCTGGTCCCCGGGCAGAGGTAGAGGGGCTGGGGGGTCGGGGGGGATGCGGGGGGCTGGGGGGGGTTGGGGGGGATGCGGGGCGGATGCGGGCAGGTGCGCGGGCAGCGGTGCCGGGCGCCCCGGGCGCGGTGGTGAGGAGCGCCCTGGCCCTGGCCCTGGCCCTGGGCCCCGACCCCCCCCCACCGCCCCGCCGCAGCAGGTCCCGGCCCGGGCAGCCGCCCAGCGAGGAGGCCCCGGGCCTCAGGCGCCCGTCAGCGTGTGCAGGCCGCGGCCCGGGCACGGCGCTGGGCGTTACAGGAGGGAAGGCGGGCGGGGGCTGGGCTCGCGGGCGCGGGGCCGAGCCGTCCCTTGGGTGGGCGCCCGGGGCCGCGCTCCTGCAGCAGGTGCGGTGGGTGGGCGGGCGGGCGGGCTGCGCGGCTCCAGGCCCTGCAGCAGGTGCGGCGCCACAGGTGCGCGGCCACAAGTCCGGGGAGGTCCCGGGCCTCGCCGCGGGCGCGCGCCCGCCCGCCCTCCCTGCGCGGGTGCCTGGGGGGGCACCTGGGGGGCACCAGGGGCGAGGCCCTGGGGGGGCATCTGGGGCGGGCACTTGGGGCGGGGGCCTGGGGGCACCCGGGTGGGGCGTCCCCCGCGGCGATGCCCACGCGTCCTCGCCTCTCCCCGCCAGGCACCCGCCCCCCCCCCCGGCCGCGCCCCCGCCGGCTCCGCGCCATGGGCAACCAGTGCTTCGGCCTCCGGACGCGGCTGCTGCAGCGCCTGCGGCCCCTGCCCGCCCTCCTGGTGGTGCGCGGCGCCCCGCCGCAGGGCCAGGGCAAGGACTACCACGTCGCGGTGCTCGGCGCCGCCGGCCTGGCCAAGGGCGCGCTGGTGCGGAGGTGGGTGCGCGGCGGCTTCCAGGACGCGTGCCTGCCGGGGGCCGCCGAGGGGGCCGACGACGGGGCCGACGAGGGGGCCGACGACGGGGCCGACGACGGGGCCGACGAGGGGGCCGACGACGGGGCCCGGGGCGCCCAGGCCGCCGGCCCCCCGCGCGCCCCCCGCGCCCCCCGCGCGCCCCGCGCCCGCCGCGCCCTGCTGCGCCGCCTGGCTGCCGGGGCGCCCGCCTTCCCGCCCGCCTGCGCGGCCTCGGAGAAGCAGGTCCTGGAGGAGCTGCAGCCCTTCTACGAGCTGCTGTGCAAGGTCAAGGGCAAGAACGTGCGCCAGTACCCGATCGTGCTGGTGCTGGGCCGCCGCGGCGAGCAGGGCCGCTGGGAGCTGACGATCCGCGAGGGCGTCGCCTGCGTCGAGTGGGACTGCGCCTTCCTGGAGACCTCGGCCGCCATGGGCGTCGGCGTGCAGGAGCTGCTCCACGCGCTGCGGCGCCACGAGCGCAGGCCCGGCCCCGCCGCCGCCCCGCCCGCCCGCCGCGGCTCCCGGCTCGCCAGGGCCGCCGAGAAGCTGCTCGGCCACTGCCTGGTCCTGTGACGCGCCCGGCCCGCGAGCGAGCGAGCGAGCGAGGACCGACCGACAGACCGACCGACAGACCGACCGACCGAGACCCGACCGAGACCGAGCGGGCCGGCGACCCACCCCGCGCCGCCCCCGCGGCTGCCGTCAGCGCACAGCCCTTCGTTTTCCCACCCAGAGAATCCCGATGGTTAAGGCCTTGGCGTTGGGGGAGGGGAGGGGACGAGAGGAGGATGGGGGAGGAGGAGGAGGGGGAGGAGGAGGAGGATGGGGGAGGAGGAGGAGGAGGATGGGGGAGGAGAGGAGGATGGGGAGGGGGAGAGGAGGATGGGGGAGGAGAGGAGGGGGAGAGGAGGATGGGGAGGAGAGGAGGGGCAGGAGGAGAAGAGAAGATGAGGAGGGGGAGAGGAGGATGGGAGGAGGAGGGGGAGAGAAGGAGGAGGAAGGAGGAGGGAGGAGGAGGGAGAAGGAGGAGGAGGGGAAGGGAAGGAGGAGGGAGGAGGAGGGAGAAGGAGGAGGAGGGAGGAGGGAAGGGAAGGAGGAGGGAGGAGGAGGGAGGAGAAGGAGGAGGAGGGGGACGGGAGGAGAGGAGGACGGAGGAGGGGAGCAAAGCCCTATGCAGTGGAAGGCTCCTGGGATACGCCTTAGAGATGAGTATTTGAAAGCGACAGTGAAATGCTGAAATACATTGGAAGAGGCCACCGCTCTTCTTGTAACTCTATTGTGTGAGTTTTAAACATTTCAAGTCCTATAAAGTCTCCACTGTGTACCTAATTGTCAAAAAAAATGTGTTTTTGCAAAAAAAAAAAAAAAAAAAAACCACAAACCAGGCAGATGACATGGTTCAGCCAGACGTGTCAAACAAAGTAAAGGGATGTTCTTTAGCTGAGCATTGAAGCTGGGGGCGGGGAGAACAGTGTAAGTGGGACGTGTTTACTCTGTGGGTGCCAGTTGTTTCCAAAGTCGTGTAAAAATGTTTGCTGTTCCACATAGCAGTTTTTGTGAATTAATAAAGCTTTTCCTGCAGACAATCAGCTTTATGACTTCTTTTTCACTGGATAACAACAAAAGTACCCGTTGCATTAAAATTTGAACCACATCTAGGGAAGGTTTCTTTCCTATTTTTTTATGATCCTGGAAACTTTTATTTTGTAAAAATCTGAAAATATGGAAAAATAGACAAAGTATAATCACCCATTATCCCCCCCAGAATAATATTTTGATGCCTTTTTTTTTTTTAGGTTTTTAAATATCCCGCTAAAGTGTTGCTGTTTTCAGGTATTTCCATAAACCTATTTTCACAAGTTTAAAAACTCTTCCATTGTCAGTAGTTCAAACACACATTAGAATTGCCGTCTACTTTCAAGATTCGTTTATCAGGGCGCCTTAAAGTGCTGTTCCTTCCGCCTGTAGCACTCACGGTGTTTTAAACCCAAGTCCACCTTGCCCACACACGGGGTAACACCCGGCGCGGCTGGCCTCCCGTGCCCTCCTGGCGCCTGTCCCCCACCCCCGGCACCCCATCCCCCGGCCCACCCTGGGGAAGGTCTCTAACAGGAACTCATTCCCCCCCCCCCGGGCCCCAGCCGGCGGGGTAGGGGTGCAGGTCAGGGGCCCCTGCGCTGCGGAGCTGGTCTCTGACCATAACCACCCCTGCCCGACGTTGAGGAGAACTCCCTGGGTCTCGGGGGAGGCTGCTCACCCTGTTGCTGTCTGGGGACCCGCGTGAAAAGCCAGCCTCAGCCTTTGGGTGCCCCAAAGTCTTCCCTCAGGAATGCTAGACCGAGGGAGCGGGGAGGGGGCGCGAAGGTCAGGGGAGAAATAGAATGTGGAATTTGAAAAATTCCTCCTTAAGGGAGGAATATATACTAGTTTTATACTTGCACATAATTTTTTGAGTACAGGAATACGTACCTGTACGTATCTTTTTGAGTTGTTTTTTTTTTTTGTTTTGTTTTTTTGTTTTTTGTTTTTTAATTGGAGGAAGGAGGTTCCACCGCGGAGCCAGCAGGCGCCCCTGATGGTGGGTTTCCAACGTGGAGCTGGTGTCCAGGCTGTGCAGGGGGGCCAGGAGGCGGGATAAAAGGCTTTGGAGCAGAATCCTGGTGAGCACAGCACGTCAGAAGGCGACTGACCCGGAGGAAACCGCGGCACACGGAAGCGAGCAAGTGGTAGGAGGAAGCCCCGGGTGTGCGGTGTAAGAGCCGAGGGAGAAATGAGCTCCGAGGAAAAGCGTGCAACGTCCTCCACCGTAACGGAAGCTCCTTAAAAATAGGATCAGATGAGGATTAGGGATGTAGCTCGCATTTAGCAGTTAGGAGGTTCCTGGGCGCAGCCTCCACTGCTCTCAGGTACTACCTCTCACCGCCAGACCACCCCGGACAGAACCCCCAAGCAGAGGAGAAGGCGCACAGACGGAAAGAAGAGGGCTGCCTGGGAACCTGGGCCAGGGCAGCGCCGCCGCGGCGACTGGGGTGTCCTTCTCGGCTCCCACCCGCGCCCCGAGACCTGCGGAGTGTCCCCAGGTGGGCGCTGCCCGCACACCCGGACCGCAAACACCGACGAGGGCCCAGTGGCTTAGCCGCAGAGAGCCTCTTGCTGCCGCACCCACCACCGAGCAGCATTAGCCCACCCCGCTCTCGGTCCTCCCCCGGGGGAGCGTGCCCTGCCCGGGGAGGCCGATGGCAGTGCCCTGGCGCCCCTCCCGGTGCTGGACAGCAGGACCCTGGAGCCGCGCACGCCCCAACCCCGTCCCTGCCGGCACAGCGACATCCCCGCGGTGAGCCCGGTCCATGCCCTCAGCTCCCTTCCAGGGTCGGGTGGGCAGGTGCGTGGTGGGAGCGGAGCCTCCCTCTGCAGCTGTCGGCGGCGACACTGAGTGAGACGGTGCGACCCAGAGCAAGTCAACCGTCCCCCCCCCCCCCCCCGCCAGGAGTCTCGGCCGCCTTGACCACAATCAAGACTTCGGGCTGTGATCTCTTACGTCTCTCCCGAGAAATCATAAGTGAGCGACTTTACACGTTACTGCCTGGCTGGGAGCAGGGAGGGTGTGAACCATTCTAACCCCGCTTTGAGCAAACGGCGCTATTCAAAGGAGCCAGAATCTTCTATTTTTTGCACCATCCAACATAGCAGCCTCTGGCCTTGTGCGGTGCCTGCACTTAGTCCCGACCGAGCCGTATTGAAAGTGTAAACTACACCTGAAGCTAACTGCAGAGGATGAATGTACACTAGCTCAGATTTTTTAATGACTGCTACATGTTGAAATGATATTTTATGTTTTATTTTTTAAAGATTTTATTTATCCATTCATGAGAAACACAGGCAGAGGGAGAAGCAGGCTCCGTGCGGGGAGCCAGACGCAGGATTCGATTCTGGGACCCTGGGGTCACGGCCTGGGCCAAAGGCAGACGCTCCACCGCGGAGCCACCCGGGTGACCCCAAATGATAATATGTTAAATAGGGTAAATGAAACATACTATTAAATTAATTTGGTGGTTTTTTTTCTACTTTTTTTAAAAAAATGTCATCTTTAAGTGATCTGCACGCCCAGCATGGGGCTTGAACTCACAACCCTGAGCCCCAGGGTCTCGTGTCTACTGAGCCAGCCAGGTAGCTGTCTTCCTACTTCTTCTTTTTTTATTTATTTTTTCCCGTCTTCCTACTTCTTTACAGGCGGCTACCACAGGGGCATTTGGGTGGAGAATCGGTAAGTGTCCGACTCTTGCTTTCGGCTCCGGTCGAGATCTCAGGGTGCTGAGACCCAGCTCCGCACTCAGCCTGGCGTCTGCTTAAGCCTCCCTCGCCCTCTGCGCTCCCCTCTCCTCGCGCTCTCTCGCTGCCTCTGAAATAAATCTTTAAAAACAATGTGGCTACCAGCATATTTGAGGTTACATCTGTGGCTCCTCATCATCGCGTCTTGCGTCATCTCCCGACGAGGCAGCGCTGCTCATGTTCAGAGCAGGGATCACGTGTGATTCCTAATTTGCATTTGGCCACGTACATTAGCTAGGATCAACACTCAGGTGTGGAAAACCGTCTGTTTTGTACAAACCGTACCGTATTGTAGTTGTCGGGTACCCAAGCGACTTCATGAAACCCGAGATCAAAGGAAATGTAACAAAGTCCCTGAGTACATGGATCTGAGCGGTAGGCCCATCGGCGACGGCCACAGACCTGGGCCCGGAGGCCCGGACTGGGGACGATAAATAGGAATTCAGTGACTTGGTGAGGATTAAAGTAAAGAAAACTGAAAATATGCCTGCCGCTCGGATACAGCGTAGGGCCCGGAGGCTGCGCTGCGGACAAATGCCGTCTACTTGACACCGAGAAGTGGAAAGTGGAGGGAAAGCCGGTGTAGGGACGACCCAGTTTTCAAAGTGTGTGGGGGCTGTGTGGACCTCGCGCCCCGAGGGGCATCAGCAGACTCTTCCCATCGGCAGCGGGCCCTTCCGGCACCGGGTGAGCCCCCGCGGTCCTGCACCCTGTGCCCACCCGCGTGGTTGGGAATCGCCCTTTGGTTGCGTGGCTGCTTTCCCCCGGGCCGGCGTTTGGCAGCTGCCGGGACAGACGAGCACAGGCGTGCGAGCACTGACCTTCCCAAGGCCGCGCTTCCCTGGGGCGTGAGGGGCGGTGCTGCCCCCCACGACTGGGCCCGCCGTGGGAGCGCACCCCACGCGCTGGGAAAGCCGCCTGCCGCCCTGTGGGCCGCCCGCGGGTGGGCAGGACCCCGCAAGTTACCCGAGTGACTTTCCACTGGGGCTCGGCTGCATTGAAGTGCTGAGGGTTTTAGGGGCCGATACGTAACATCTTCAGGATTGATCTCAAATTTGCTCCCATCTGAGAGCTACTGTGTGCCTGTGTCCGTGTGGCATTGGCTTGGACGACCGGAATGGCCACTTTTTGTTGTTTTCTGACCTTTAATACAGTGTGAATTAGATTACCGTGCATTTATATTATTTTCCTAATTATTGAAGAGACCCCAGATAATTTCCTTATGGGTCCCAACAGGAAAGAAC